CAGCAGCAGCAGCAGCAGCAGCAGCGGGAAGCCCGCGGACAGCAGCAGCAACAGCAGCAACTTTCAGTCTTTCGACAAATTCATAGAAGAGAGAAATTATGCTGTTTTGGATTTGCCGCTGCTGACGAGCTACGCGCCCAAGAAGCTGCAAACCGGGCAAATGAACAAAGTAAACCCTAAACCCTAAACCCTAAACCCTAAACCCTAGAGCCGTTGCTTGTGCTGCACCTCCCGCCACGTCCTTCCCGTCCGCTGCCTCCTTCCACGGCCGCCTCCCCCGCTGCTGCTGCACGGCCGCTTCCTCCGCTGCTGCTGCTGCTGCTGCTGCTGCTGCGCTGCTGCTGCTGCTGCAGCTGCCGCCGCCAGTGAGCCTGAAGCACCAGGGGTACCGGCACGTGGACCACTTGGAGCTGATGAATGTTGCAGAAGTTCGCAGCTTCGTTTCTTTTTGGCAGCAAAATTTGCTGCTGCTGCAGCAGCGCGTGGGGCTCATGTTTGGCTACTACCGCGAAGACCCCCACTACCCCCTGGGCCTCCGCGCCGTCTGCGAGGCCATCTACGAGCCCCCCCAGGTCTGCTGCTGCTGCTGCTGCTGCTGCTGCTGCTGCTGCTGGTGATGATGATGCTGCGGGCGCTGCTGCTGGTGATGATGAGGATGATGATGCTGTTGATGATGCTGCTGCTGCTGCTGCTGATGATGATGATGCTGTTGCTGCCGCTGCTGCTCCTGATGATGGTGCTGCTGTTGGTGCTGCTGCTGCTGATGATGGTGCTGCTGTTGGTGGGGGTGCTGCTGCTGCTGCTGCTGCTGCTGCTGCTGCGGGTGTTGGTGCTGGTGCGGGCAGTGGTTCGGGGGGCGTTGGGGGTGGTGGCGCTGCTGCTCCAGCTGCTGCGGCTGCTGCTGCTGCTGCTGCTGCAGGAGGGGACCACGGACGGCTTTCGTTTGCTGCAGAGCAGCGCAGCAGATGCAGAAGCAGCGGCAGCAGCAGCAGTTGCTGCTAGACTCGGCCTTGAGCTTATTGGCTGCATCTTCACCCACAAACCCCGGCAGCAGCTTTTAACTCCTCAAGAGATTCTTTTTATTGCAAAGTATAAACCCTAAACCCTAAACCCTGAACCGTAAACCCTGGTACCTGAGCAGCAGCAGCAGCTGCTGCTGCTGGTGCTGTCCTCGCCGCTGCTGTTCTTGCTGCTGCTGCTGCTGCTGCTGCTGCTGTCTTCGCTGCCGCTGTCGCTCCTCTTGCTGCTGCTTGTGCCCCTGCTGCTGCTGTTTGTGGGTGGAGGGGGGCAGTTGCTGCAGCAGCAGCAAAAGCCGCAATAGCAGCAACAGCAGCGGCAGGTGGGGTTTGCTGCTGCAGGCTGCAGCTGGCGCACATGCACTCGGGGCACTTCACAGGCTACCCCATGCCCAAGTTGGTGGCTTGTACGGTGGCGCTGCAGCAAAATGAAGAGCAGCAGCAGCAGCAGCAGCAGCAGGAGCAGGAGATCGTGCCCAATGCCTTCATGGTTTCGGACTTGGTCTGCTGCTGCTTCTTTTGCTGCTGCTCTTTCGAGGCTGCTGCTTCTGAAGAGTTTAATTCAACTAAATAAATTAATTAAATCAAATTAAGTTAATTTTATCAAATTAATTCAATTAATTCAATTTAATTTAGTTTAATTTGATTGGCTCCTCCCGTCCTCTTTTGCTTTTTGCCTCTCATTGGCCGCCTAACTGTTTTGTCTTCTCCCTGCTTTATTTTATTTATTTTATTTTATTTATTTTATCTTTTTGATTTCATCCTTTTAATTTTATCTTTTTGTCTCCTTTTTATTCATCTATCTTGCGTGTGCTTTGCTGCTGCTGCTGCTGCTGTTGCTGCCGCTGTTGCTGCTGCTACAGATACTGGCTCTTGTTAGAGACGGCCTCATTGCAGAGGAGCAGCCAGACCCGACACATATCATCCTCAGAGAGCTAAAGAAGGTGCCTTTGCTGCTGCTGCTGTTGCTGCTGCTGCTGTTGCTCTTGCTGCTTCTCCACCTGATTCTGCTACTGCTGGTCTTGCTTCTGGTGCTCTTGTTCCCGCTGCTCTTGCTTCTGCTGCTACTTTTGCTGCTGCTGCTCTTGCTGCTGCTCTTGCTGCTCTTCCTGCTGTTGCGCCTGTTTCTGCTGCTGCTATTGCTCCTGTTGCTGCAGCTGCTGCTGCTGCTGCTGTGACGGTAGTTGCTAGTGTACTCCCCCCTTTTGTTTTCACTTGCGCGATTATGACTTTTGGCGGGCGCCCCAGCAGCAGCAACAGCAGCAACAGCCGCTGCTGCTGCTGCTGCTGCTGCTGCTGCTGGGATCTCGTCACTTCAGCCTGTGTTAAGGGCGCTTCCGTCTGCTGCTGCTCCTACCGCTGCTGCTGCTGCTGCCTGCACTGCTGCTGCGTGCTCGATTCCCACCCGCCGCTGCTGCCTGCCCCCATCGCCCCTCACTGCTGCTGCTGCTGCTGCTGCTGCTGCTGCTAGGGCGAGCTGCGCCCGCAGATCCTTGAGGGCGGCGTTGAGAAGGATCGCTTCGACGCCAGCTGGTGTATCGTCAGGGTCAATGAGTCCGCACCCAAAAAGGTAGCCCTTATTTGCTGCTGCTGCTGCTGCTGCTGCTACTGCTGCGGCTGCGGCTGCGGCTGCTGCTGTTGCTGTGTGTGCTGCTGCTTTTACTGTGTGGTTGCGTGCTTCTGCTTCTGTGTGTATTGCTGCTGTTGGCTGTGAAGCTGCCACTGCTGCTGTTAGTGCTGCTGCTGTTGCTGCTGCTGCTGTTTTCTGCTGCTGCTGCTGCTGCTGCCTCGCCGCCTTTTCTCTTTTCATCTCCGTTTGCTTCCAGTTGCTTCTGTCTCTTTGTCTCTCTTTTTTATTCTATTTTCTCCTCCATTTATTTCTTTTTGTCTTTTCATTTGTTACCTGTTTGTTAGTTTTCTTTTTTCTTTTTTTCTTTTTTTGTTCTTTTTATTTCTTCTCCTCCTTTTGTTTCTTTTCTTTTTTCTTTTTAATTTCTTTGTCTCTCATTCCTTGTGATTTATCTATTTATTTATTTATTTCATCTATTGTTATTTTATTTTATTTTTATTTTATTTATTTTTGTTTTTCAGGTTCGGTCTCTTTTCCGCCACAGTCACTTTCCAAGAGAAAACAGATTCATTTCCCAGACTCCTCAAGACATCCGAGTTAGCTGCTGCTGCTGCTGCTGCTGCTGCTGCTGCTGTTGCTGCTGTTGCTATTACTGCTGCTGCCGACACAGCTGCTAGTGCTGTTGATGCTATTGCTGCCTTTACAGCTGGTGTTCCCGCTGCTGCTGCTGCTGCAGTTGCTGCTTTGCCAGTGCTGCTGCTGTTGCTGCTGCATTTCTGTTGCTGTTGCTGCTGCGGGTCCTCCCTTCTCACGCAGTGGCCGTCACCCTTCGCTGCTGCTGCTGCTGCTGCTTTTGCTGCTGCAGGAGTACTTTAACCACCCGTCGATGGCGCGCGGCGCCGCTGGAACCAGCAGCAGCAGCAGCAGCAGCAGCAGCAGCAGCTGGGCCCGCTTCAGCGACTTCCACCTGCTGCTGTACGTGGCTCGCCTCTTCGATGTGGCCACAAGCTTTTCTCTTTGCGATGCTGTTCTAAACGAGACTCCCGTCGACGAGGGCATGGAAGATGTCCTCAAATCCCTCGCCTAGCTAGCTAGCTAGCTAGCTAGCTAGCTAGCTGGCTGGCTAGCTGGCTAGCCGGGGCTAGCTGGCTGGCTAGCTAGCTAGCTAGGTAACTCGGCAGTTGTGGCTGGATTGCTGGCGGAGCTGGCTAGCTAGCCAGCTAGCTATGGCTGCCATGCTAGCTAGCTGTGGCTGGCTAGCTAGCTGGCCAGCTAGCTACGGCTGACTAGATAGCTAGCCGCGGCAGGCGAGCTAGATATGGCTGGCTAGCTAGCGCCAGCTATTTGACTGGCTAGTTGGCTGTAGCTAGTTAGCTAGCGCTAGCCATTCGGCTGGCTAGCCAGCGACAGCCTGCCAGCTAGCTGCGGTTAGCTAGCTAGCTAGCTGGCTAGGGCTAGCTAGCGATATTGCTAGCTAACTAAGGCCAGCTAGCCAGGCCTAGACAGCTAGTCTGGGCTAGTCAAGGCGAGCTTATCGACTATTCAGCTACTTGCCCAGCTAGCCAGCTCGCTAGCCAGCTGGCTAGCCAGCTAGCTAGCTGGCTAGCTAGCTAGCCGGGCCCTTCAGAGGGCCCCGAGCTAGCCATTGCTGCAGTGTGTTGTTGGCCACCAGTTCGGGGCGCCTGCTCACTGGCTAGCTGACTAGCTAGCTATCTGGCTAGCTGGTTGGCTAGCTAGCTACTCAATAGACTCCCTAGCTGGCTGGCTAGCTAGCTACTCAACGGACGCCCTAGCTAGCTAGCTAGCCAGCTAGCTAGCTAGCTAGGCATGCGGCTAGCCAGCTAGCCACTGACTTTCGGAGCTGTCCAGTCTATGCCGTGCACGGCTAGCTGATGGAAAGGCCAGCTAGCTAGCTAACTAGCTAGCTAGCTCAGCCCACTGTAGAGGCCCCACCCAATGTCCAGCGAGCTAGCCGGCTAGCTAGCTAGCTGTATGAGCAGCTGGCTACGTAGCTAGCTCCTTGTTGCTACCCGCTTGTCTATCTCTGCTGCTGCTGCTGCTGCCTGTTTGTCTCTCTGTCTCTGCTGCTGTTGTTGCTGCTGCTGCTGCTGTTCGTCTCTTTGGGCTTTCGGATTCCAGTCAGTACACCGGAAAAAGCACGCAGCAGTTGCTGCTGCTGCTGCAGTGGCAGCAATCACTCCCCTGGATAGTGCAGCGGCTGCTGCATTGGCAGCAGCAGCAGCTGCTGCTGTTGCTGTTCCTGCCACTGCATATGCAAATACACTAAAAAGAGCCCTCGTGTCATATATTAGGGCCCTTTGCTGCAGCGCCTGCTGCTGCAGCTGAGGCGACTGCTCCTGCTGCTGTTTTGGGGGCAGCAGCAGCAGCAGCAGCAGCGCAGCACCAGCACGACGCGAGCACTACAGTAGAAATCCCCTCATGGCAGCTGCCCCTTGCTGCTGCTTCTGTCTTTCGCGCTGCAGCTCCAGCAGCAGCGCCTGCAGCAGCAGCAGCAGCAAATGCAGCAGGCAAGTCGCTGAGTTGAAGCGAAGCAGCAGGAACAGCAAGAAGCAGCAGCAGCAACGGCGCACCCAGCAGCAGCAGCAGCAGCGTGAGCAGCAACAAACCCTTATATGCCTGTCCTTAGGGGACAAAGCAGCAGCAGCTTTTGCTGCTGCTAAAGCTGCTGCGTCATCTCCTGCTGCCTGCAGCGCCAGGGCCTTCCGGTGCAGCGCAGTTTTCTGCGACAGCAGCGGGTCAAATCCCTGCTGCTGCTGCTGCTGCTGGTCTTGGTTTTGCTGCATTTGCTGCGGACTTCGCGCTGCCGCCTCTCCCTGTTCGCTGCTGCTGCTGCTGCTGCTGCTGCGCGCGCAGGCGAGAGCGACATCGCAGTGCGCTGCTGCTTCATTAAACTGCTGCAGCCTCAGGCAGCAAGATGCTGCATTGAGAGACAAGCTGCAGCAAAGAGCTCGTGCTGCAGCAACAGGAAGTTCTGTTTTGCTGCCAAGGGGGCCGTGGGCAGATAAGGCAGAAGCAGTGTTCAGCGGCAGCAGCAGCTGCTGCTGCTGCTGCAGCAGCGTCCAGTAAGCAGCAGACATGCGGCATATGTCTAGCCCTTTCTTGTACATGGACAGCGCGGCGGAGATCCATCCGTGCTACAGCAGCAACAGCAGCAGCAGCAGAAGCAGCAGCAGGAAAACGCAGAAATAGCGAGGAAATAGGCAGCTGCAGCAGCAGCAGCAACGGAAACGAACGGGCAGCAGCAAAGAGACCACTTCATCATGCGCAACTCATCTGCTGCTGCTTCGCTGTCATTGCTGCTGCTGCTGCTGCTGCTGCTGTTGCTGCTGCTTATGTACCTTAAACAGCAGGTTCCCCTCAGCCTTCAGCGCAGCAGCAAAATCTGCTTTCGCCTCGCCCGAAAGAGCCCAGTGGTCTGGACGCTGCAGCAGCAGCAGCAGCAGCAGCAGAATTGCTGGATAAACAAATGCAGCAGGACGCAAGAACTGGCCATCAGACGCGCAACTTTTGTGCTGCTGCTGCTGCTGCTGCTCTGGCTGCTGCTGCCTTACCCTCCCCAGTACTCCTGCAAAGGAGACAGAAGCTCTGCAGCTTAGCTGCAGACGCCCCGGCCCAAACAAGGTCTCTATGCTGTCTTGCTGCTGCTGCTGTTGCTGCTGCTGCTGCACGCCTAGGAATTGCTGCAGCACCCTCTCCAGTCTCTCTGGAGTGTAGCGCAGCAAATGGGGGACTGCAGCAGAAGGCTGTCTTCTTTCTATGCATCTCACAGCTTCTACAACTCTCTTTAGTTCTGCTGCAGTAGCAGACTCGAATTGCTGCTGCTGCTGCTGCTGCTGAGAGATTGCAGCATCAGCTCCAGCAGCAGCAGCAGCTCCTGCTGCAGTGCCTTGAGCGTCCCCATTCACTTCAGGCAGCTGCAGCATCCAGAGCCCTTCCTAATGAGCGCAGCAGCAGCACATTGGCAACCTCGACTGCAGCACCTAGCAGCTGCAGCAGCAGCAACTGCAGCAACAGCAACTGCAGCAGGAGCAACTGCAGCAGCAGACACTCTATATCAGCCCTTACCCACGCAATCGCTGGCAACCCTTCAACCAAACCAGACTCCTGTTGAACCTCCGGCTGCTGCTGCTGCTGCTGCTCTTGCTGCTGCTGCATGCACGCTCGTTTTTCCTGCGGCTGCTGCAGCAGCAGCAGCTCGGGAGGCAGCAGCACCTCCGCTGTTTGGCCCAGTGGCAGCTTCAGCAGCAAATGGCGCAACCACAGCGGGACGGCTACTACAGATGACAGTGAAAACAGCAGCCAAACCTGCTGCTGTTGCTGCTGCTGCTGTTGCTGTTGCTGCTGCTGCTGCTGTTGCTGCTGCTGCTGGTCCTCGATGCGGCACACAGTCAAGTCGCCTGCAGCTGCTAAACAGCTCGGGTCCGAAGAAGCAAACAGCAGCGGCAGCAACGGGAGCTGCTCTGGATGCTGCTGCTGCTGCATGTGCTGCTGCTGCTGCTGCTGCATGTGCTGCTGCTGCTGCTGCTTGTGCTTGTGCTGCTGCTGCTGCTGCTTGTGCTGCTGCTGCTGATGCTGCTTGTGCTGCTGCTGTGGTGTTTCCAACATGCCTAGCTGTCCCTCTTCAGCAGTAATAGATTCAGCAGCAGCCGAGCTCGCTGCTGCTGTTGCCGCTGCTGCTGCTGCTGCTGCATCAGATGGCAGCAGCACGTCCACATCAATGCGCAGGCGGATGAGCACTGTGGTGGTTTCGTCAGCAAAAATGGGGTGCGGGGGAGCAGCAGCAACAGAAGCAGCAGGGGCTGCTGCTGCTGTCACTGAGCGTCCTGCTGCAGCCTGCTGCTGCTCCATTTGCTGCAGCTGCAGTTGCTGCTGCTGCATTTGCTGCTGCTGCAGGGGACTCAACGAATACTGAATGACGCCCGCAGTCCCCTTCAGTTGTATTGGCGCTGCAAGCAGAAAGGCGACACCTACAGCAACACTGCAGCAGCAGCAGCAGCAGCAGCAAGGCGAAAGGCAGCGGCGGCTGCAGGCCAAGCTGAAGCAGCCGCAGCAGCCAGAGAACCCAAAATAAACCCAGTAGCAGCAGCAGCAGCACCTGCTTTGGCAGCCCCAAAAGCACGAAGACCAGCAGCGCCAAAGAGCAGCAGCACCAAACAGCAGCAGCAGCAGCAGCAGCAGCAGCAGACGAAAGCCTCACAAGGCACTTGTATTTCTTCTAAACGTCGCCAGCCCAACAAACGAACGAACAAACAAACAGAGTCGCGGAAAGGAGAGCTGAAGCGCTTGAATGAGCAGCAGCAACTCTCGCTTGCTTCTGCTGCTGCTGCTG